GGAGACCAGTCACATTCATGATTTCCACTGTGAGAGGCTGGCAGACTGTGTATTTACATCTGTATTCTTATTTTTTAGTATAACTTTTTTTATGCAACTAGAAAGTGCCTTTTCTAATAGTATTTCATTTTAGAGGGGTGTTTGAACTTACAGTAACTTCTTGCAGTGTGAAAAAAATATAATACAATCACATAATCTTTATATGCATATTGAACAACTTAGGATTTTTTTTTTAAACTCACAACATTATTGCACCTATTTTTTTATTTGACTTATTAACAGTAATAGATGTTTACACAATGTGCTGCCCTGACAAAGCATGGGGTGTTGCTCCAGAATTTTTTTTTTATTTTCTTCATCCTTTGTAGTTAAATGAAATACTTCAGTGGAGCTCAGTCTATAATCATAAGGTAAGTTTAACCTAAGGGTTACTCATACTTGAGGCTCAGCAAACTGAGAAATCACAGGATTACACACAGGGTATAGTGAAAACCAGTTCAGGTAAAGAAGACAAAAATGTTATCTTCATAAAACTATAACAAGGTTCTTTGAGTCTTTTTAGTCCCTAGGATTTAACAAGGTCCATGGACAGCTCAGTTGTTGAAGCCCTTGTTGGTGCACCCCACAACTGAACAGTCACCCTGAGAATATGTCTGTTTCTGCCACTTCATAAATGCAAATTTACTTTAGACAGGGCACAAATAACCCACTCATTCATCCTTGGCTGCAGTCAGAGGAAAATTGATGTGCTGAGCAACCAGCCATGCATTACCTTTTGTTACAGGTCTGCTCTACCTACAGCTATTTCTCTCCCTGTCCAGAAGAGGGACAAGACAAGATGATGAAATTGTTAATATAAAGCTCAGGATTACAGTCAGGAAACATATCTTTATTTTAAAATTGCTCTAGAAAACCCTGTGAACTGTTATCATGCCATGGTCTCTAAAACACATTATTATCCACTTCTCAAAACTGCCACCTGAAAATCTCGGTTACCTTGCAATTTCTGGCCGATCTCCTGCCTTTCTCAAACCAACAGAAGTAACTGAGTGTGTGACCTAGAACAGAAAGGAATTCTTGCATCTCCAGCCCCCAGGCTAGGAGAGATTATGCTTCTCTTAACATGAGCATTCACCTTTCTTGGAAAAGTTTCTGTAATTTGCTTATCTAGATAAAGCAGTAGCAAAATAATATGGACGGATAGTTCTACAATAAATATATAATAAAGTAATAAAAATAAGTAAGATGCTCTTTCACGTGCATCTAAAGACAAAGACAAAAATTTTGACTGTTCAAAACCAGCTTCAGGAAAGACAGATCAGCATTGGCTTATCCACATCAAAAAGGACAATGTCCTAGACCTAACAGCACCCTGTTTTTAGAATTCACACACTGTTTTCTATCTTCTTGTATCGTGCCTTAACTTTTATTGACAAAGTGTTCATCCCCTAGAATTATATAATCGTTTATTACCTAGCAATGATTTCTTTGAAAAACAACAAGTGATCCTGCCAGATGTAGAAGAAATCTATTCTGCCCCCTGAATAAAAAGCCCAGCATTATGTACAAGTTTGAGAAAGGAAAATATACAGGGTCCTTGAAAAAAAGAAAAAAAAGCAGAAAATTAGCTGCATTAATCAGCAATCTATACTGTATTTTGATAAATATGAGAAATGAACATTGCTGATTGGTCTCAAAAAATTATATGATTCCCAAATTATGTCTGTACAGGATGAAGCTCTCCTAAATGCATGCAAAACTTCTAATCTAATGAGCAAAAAGTTTTAAATAATAAAATCAATAAGACATCTTATGTCTTCTCTTGAATGAATTTTATTCATTAAAAAGAAAACCTCATGAATATCATCACTCTAAAATCCTCCTTTGTACTTGTTATAATCTTAGAAAATAAGAGGTTTTTCTCTGGGAAATCAGAGTCTTTCTGCATGGCCTGTTTGTGTTTCAATACCTCTTACCACCACTGTGTAACTGGCACCTTTAATCTCCTGTAGAAGCAACCTTATCATCCCACTGGCATTCCTAGCAATAAAAGGAACATCACAGTATGAGTTTGTTAATCACTTTCAAGGCAAACAAAAGCCCATTTTGCTGTCTTTGTATTCTGTTGAAGTTTGTCAATGTCAAGTCAAGCCTCTAAGGCAACACATCTTCAATTAGAGATGTAAAATCCAGTTTTGAATGCAATTTAAATCCTGCAAACTGGCAATCCTCTCACGGAAATCACAATTATTTCTATTCTTATGCATCAGTATTTCTGATCTACCATAATTTTTCTCTTACATGAAGTGATACTTAATTTCCAAGACTGAGCATTTTTGACAGGGGTTTCTGATTTGCCATTTAGTTACCACATTACAGTCAGGCTTACACTGATAGATCTTTAAGCTAGAGAAACAAATTATGTTCTTCTCTGCCACACTCTTTACATACCTCAGAGATTCCCACTCCACCCTCACCAAGAAAAGTTAGCCTTTTCCCATCCTCTCCACTAAAATAATATAGAACAGGTTTATGACCAATTTAAGTTTGAATAATTTCTTATGCTGAACACCAAGACAAATGTGTGGCCATGTAACCATGGCCAGAGACATATCTCTAAAACCATCAGAATTCCACAAGAGAAACTGAATTTTGATTTAAATGGGTATGGTTTTGTGCATGTGAGGCCAGATCTTCGGTTGGTTAAATCAATATATTCCCTTTGCTTTCTGGGAAATTGTGATTTAGATCCCAAACCACCACAGCACTGCAATGCCACTGAAGTCAGTGGGTCTGTAAGTGAAGTTCAACAGCATCATTATATCGCTAATATAGTGCTAATAACAATGGATTCCTAAATCACACATTTGCTGTGATCTAGAATATTAAATTTTTCTTTCAGTTTTCTGAAACAGAGCTCAGACACACACCCAGCTTTAAATGAATGAGGAAATGGCACAATTCAGAAAAACCTGACACCTGTTCATTTTCTTTAAATCAGAAATGTTCTGTTCACAGAAATGCTAGAATTCTCTTGTGTTCTGATGAGTACCCATTCAAAATTAAAGTTCTCTTGGCTTCATTAAAGCTTCTCTTGGCTTTTTCCCCCCTTTTTTGGTGGCAGAAAATCAGGACTTCTTTTCCATTTTGAAAAATATATCCAAAATAGTCCAAAAAGGTAGAATTTTGAAATTTAGTGTATCTTTGTTTTGAATTATTAGAATGTTTAATTTCCCTTTCTCACTGTTTACCCTATTGAATTTATTTGAATTTGATTTATTTTATTCACCCACTTTTTAAAGGCCTCTTTTTATTAAAAATCCTTTTCACTTCTCTCTCTTCTTTTCCTGCAGAATTCTGTCATTCTAGAGTCTCCAGAAGATGTAGAAGAGTGTCAAATTTGCTAGAAGACATTGAGGGTGCTCTGTGATTTACTTCAGAAAAAGCAGACCACTTCTTGGGAGATAATTCTGAAAGGAAAATTTTCAGAACCTGATTTATCTCCTTGTGCAGGGGGTACAAAAATAAAGAAGCAAAGATGAGCTTGGGAGATATGGTAGGACAGGTATTTTAGTAATATTTGTCCTTTTTTTCTAATGACTATATAAATTGGCAATAAAATAGAAATTTTAGTAATGCATCTGTTAAGGCCTCTTCTCCTTGCAATACTAACTTCTAAGTGGTCTCTCTGTCTTCAGCTTGGCCCATCAGCTTTTCCATCCTATTTTTTTTTTTCTTCCTGCCCTGCTGAGGAAGTGAAGTGAGAGAGAGGCTGGGTGGGTGTTTGCCCTTCACCAAGGTAACCTCACCCCACTGCATTGCACTAGGTCACACTTAAAGGATGAGCAACTCACAAGTGCATTGAAAATTTTCAAAAATCCTGACAAATGGCTCTGAGTCTGCAGTTCTTTGTGTCCAGGAAAAGACATGGGGCTGTGCCCCACTGATTTCAATGTACCTGCCTGCAAGGAGGGATATTTGAATGAAAAAGTACACGCTGCTATACACAAAAAGCCTAGCTGGAGCCAGGAGACTCCACCTGCCTCAAAACTCCTGGGATCAGGGATGAAAAAACAATGGGATCAGGACCATAGAATCTGCAAAATAACTTGAAGCAAAGAGATCTGTCAAAGGCATAGGAACCAAAACAAAATTTAAAAAACCCTCTTCACAATTAGCCCAGAACCACTTAGCTCTGTGGTCATCAAAACACTTGAGAGGAAACTTGTTGCCAATATAGTCAAGGGCTCTCTTAATTTCATGCACTGTGACTTCAACAATTTATTCATGTCTCATTTTATTTCTCTAAAATAGGCCTCATTTAAAAGAAGGGAAACCACATTTCATGCTCTTCAGTTTCATTAAAGAGATACAAATCCCTTACCAAAAGAAGACTCCTCTAAATTAAACCATTGTAGCAGAAGAAAATATTGAAATTTTGAATCTGAAAGGACTCTGACGCAATCTATAATCTCTTGCATATCATTCTTTATGGCATTTTTAAAAAGGAAGAAAAAAGATCCTCCCTTTAAAAAATTGTTTTCAAACGTGTGATGGACAATGTAACATTCAACTGAGAGTAACAAAAATTAACTATCTCACAGATTTTCTAAAGTTTGTCAGGAAAGAAGGCCACTGATCTCTTCCTCAACAGTGTGGGAATACAATATTTCACCCTCTGAAACTAACTTGTATTTGCTTGACAAGGAAGGTATGGTTAACTCCCTTGCTTGATACTCATTGCATAAGAAATATGATATAAACCCTATTTCATAAGATAAATCCAGCATCATTCAATATCTGGCTCAAAGTGAACTCAATTTTATGAGTAATTAATGAACTGCTCCAAATTCCAGTAGTATTTTATGTTCTCTTGGCTACAGGACACATAGATACATCAAGTGGTTTTCCACCTGGGTTAAAAACCATTTATTGGGCTTAACTTGAATGAAAGATGAAGCTCATTGTTTTATTCAAATCTTACTTCCTAGCAGATAAGGGTCTTCAGTTCCCCTTTACATTCACCTTCATTACAGAAAAGAACAGTCTGCTGGTGATTGCATCATGTGAGAATGGCAAAATACTTCCATGAAATTCCCCAGTGAAATTTCTTCCCTTCTCTTTTTCAAGTTTGTCTGCAAAACAACAACAACAACGGGGGTGGGGGGGGGGAAAGAAATTTCTCATTTCTGTCTTTTAGATGTGTCCAAGGAAAAGAAGCTTTTCCAAACTTACCAAAAGCCTTTTCCATAAACACGCTTTCCATAAACACCTTCAGTCCTTGATGTTCTCCACCTTCATCCTCAAAGAAGACTGCTTCAGTCTCCTGTAGGTACAGCTTCCTGAAGAACCACCCTTCAGGGTCCTTCTACATGGCAAAAAAAAAAAAAAAAGCATGTAAGTTCTGTGTGCTTTCTTGATACCCATTGACCTTACCACAGTAGCCCAATATCCACCAAAACACACAGACAATAATTTCCAATAAACCATTGGTATCCTTTTTGAATAATCCTGTTTATAAAAGGCAAGACACACCAGGGAGCATATTTCAAGGAGCAAAAATGTTGTTTCTTTCATGGCCTGAATAAAAATGGAAGAAATATTTTCCAACTGGAAGAGCAAATTAATTAGTGAGCCTTGTCAAGCTCAAAAAATCCCCTCTATCAAATTAAGGGAAATAAAATATTAATTTTGTTATTTTAAACTCATTTTCCTTACAGTCCACTGTAAATACTGAAATATAAGAAATATCCCATGAACACACATTCATAGCTCAGGTCTATTTCCCTGTTTCCAGGGTTCAAGGAGACAAGGAGTGCAAATCCATTACTTACTGACTTTTTGCAGACTTCTTTTTATTTTTAAATCATAAATCACTTTTCTACATCTACATGACTGTTTGGATTCCAGAATAAAATGCACATTTTCAGAAAGATTCTGATCTGAGTGGGTCACTGTGAAGAGTTGTAAATGACCATGGCCATAAACCATCCTGGGTTTTATGCATCTGTTAAAGTAGATTGCCTGAAGTCAATCATGCATCATCTCATAAGGAAAGATTTCATGTTTTAATCCTTGCTATACATCAATACCAATAATTTAAAAGCTTGTAGTTTATCTATTTCTCTATGTAAAACAGCGGATTTCCCACTCTATATGCTGGGTGGGAGAGTGAGTTCCCTAAACCATTACACTCTGGGAAACTAACATACCTTGCCAATTTTGCCTGAAGCTGTTTCTGTCAACAATAGAGAAAAGGAGCTATCATTTATTTCAATGGATGCTGGCTCAGATGGAAAGACATTATACACAAAGCTTTAGGGTCTGGCTTTGATCACCCAGGGTTTGGGGCTTTTTTGTTTTTATTGTTGCTCATTTCTGCATTTCCTGATTTTGCTGAAGTAAAGAGCAGCTGTTCTCACAAGCTTACCAATTCAAAGCTGCAAATACAAAAGTTGCATCCAAATTGCCTTTTCTTTAAGAGTGCTGGATAGATGCTGTCTCGTTCAATGGAGAACAGAACAAAGTTCATAAAAGGAAGGGGAGGAAGGGGGGACAGTCTTACAATTCTACTAAATGTGGGAAAGAGTGTCTCCCTGAATTCTCTGGAATTTCTTGCTCCCCAGTAGAACAGATATTGCAGTAACATGGTTCACACATGGAAGGCTGCTCCCCAAAATTGCTCTAGGATCATGACAATGACAACCCTGAGGCCACCTCAGCAAAGCTGGTGTTTTTCCAGGACAATAAGACAAATGTGATTTCTTCACAATGTGTGTCCCTTGCACTGTGTTCTGTTGCATTTGCAGATCAGTTGTAGACGCAGTACAACTGACCTGAATCTGCTCAGTGAACCTGCCCTGGTTTCCTGGGTGCTCAGCTATCCAAAAATACCATGTTGTCTGCCCCAAATAAACCTTTTGCAAGATAAGTAGATATGACAAGAGAAACATGAAATCAGAGAAAGAGGTACCACAGAAGCATTTAGATTACATGTACTGTGAAACTTGCCCAGAAATTTGGTCACATGTTTACCATGTGCAGACACATTGCCAAAATAGCCCTGCAGTTCCACAGATGCAGCTCCTACCTGCCAACTTTCCAACAGCAGCTCTGTCCAGGGAAAACACTGCACCCAGGCAGCAGGATGCATGTTTGCCAGGAAACTGTCTCTCTTTGAACAGGACTGTGCAAGGCAAACCAACGTGCACAACTCTGTGCTCTCTAGCTAGCTCAGGCATCAACAAAGCAGCAGCCACTGCCATGACAAAGCTTTCCACGTGTCCTTCAAGTGGGATAGAGTTTGTAGCTGTAGGAAGAAGAGAGATCTCCATTTGATCCTCCCTTGGTAAACTCAAGGAAGCGAATTTGGCACTGTGCCTGTGGCTGGAGAGCAACAAAAGGATCCAGCTTGGTGGCTGCAGGTGGGGAGGGCAGGCAGTGCACTACACACAACTCTCACTGCTGGGGAGAGCTTCGCCTCTCTGACACTCCAGAAAACAAGGGAGCAGTGACTTCTAGGTGCAGCACTTTTTATTACTTCTCCTGCTGTCTCAGACACTGAAATGAGGACTGCTGACAGCTGGCAGGTAAGTCACTACCTGCATGCAAGTCAAGTGTAACACACAGTGTATTTTCCCACACAAGTTAAAGGGCCATTCAGAATCCCAAATAATAATTTACCTCAAAAGAATCTGCTCATTATGTGCTTTGCCTGGCCCTCATGGCCTTGCAAAGCCCTCTGAATAGTCAGGCCTGAAATAATCTCCTGCTGCCTGTAACACTGGCCTTTCTTTCTTTTCATGTAACTGCAAACAGAAACTCCTTATTCACAAAGGAAGAGGTTATTAAACTCAGCAGAGTTATTCTAAAAAAGATAGAAATGAACTTTGACTGCAATCTTAAGTGTGAGTCTTGCCTGGAAAGCTGTTTGACACACAAAAGGCAAGCAGGGAGCACAGATTCAAGGCTGACCATTGTCATGGGTAGTCACCATTAAGCTGACAAGAGAGTAATCTGCTACCTCACTTTGTTATGAACGGTCCTTTAAATTTGTTACTTTTATGGAGGGATCCTTTAAACTGCATGTTCTCTTGACACGAACCTCTCTGTTTTAAAACAAGGCATACCTCTCAAAATGATTTAGATGTTTGTGGTTGACACTACTCAGTTGCATCACTTATGCCAGAGTGACTCGGATGAGCAACATGAAGAGAGATAAATCTAAGCAGCTGGAGTCCTGTCTGATTAAATCTTTAAATCCATAGCGGTTCACCTGTAAAACAGCATCACAATCATGACATGAAAACTAAGCTGGTGGTTAGCCAATGAAAGTGCACCACAGACCTCCAAAGGCCAAGTTTTAACTCACCTGCTTGTTTTAAACAGGATGATGAATGACAGTGAAAAAGGCACTCAGTCTCCCTTCCTTTAATGCCCTTCTTTGTTTAATAGCTGGACTGCCCAGCTATAATATTTCTTTTACACACAAAGCTTACTAACTCCACTCCAAACCCGAAGTATTAAAGCTCTCTGCTAACCTTTGCCTGGTGCACAAATTGCCACAACAACCTCGCAGCTACTGTGATGGAGGTACGATGCCTTGGAAAAAACACGGTCTGGAGCTGGTCAGAATGATTGTTAGCACCAGCCACACTTGATAATAATAAAAGAGATAATCTGTATTTAACTATCTTGTTGGTAACCATCAAGAAATCAAATGAGCTAATTACTATTTCCTTTCTTTCCCCACTGATCTGCAATCCCTGGATGAATGCTGTATAAACCAGAAAAATTTTTGTGACCATCCTTTAGTAATTGACCTTTAGCTCTCCCCATTTCATTTGCCCTAAGTGTTAATTGACTTTGAAAAAGCAGTATATTATCCTTTTAGAAAAGAAAGTCTGATTTGTGCCCGCCAACATCTCACAGCATCAAAGCCCTGTTAAATCATAGAGCAATACAGCTGAAAATGAGTCTCCAGAAGAAATGGAAAGAGGGTGGGGGAAGGAAGGAGAATGGTTATTGACAGAGCTCCACTGCCATCTAGAGAGAATCTGCACCAGCCAATTTTCTGAAAGAGAGGCTGTTAGTCAAAATAATTCCATTCTGATGTTGGGGGAGGTAGGAACTCCACTCAGGTTCACTTCTATTAATTTTTTAACCAATTTTTAGTAATCTGCACAAAAAGCATATCATATCCTGGAGTATAACCTACCATGAATTGTGTAGAAATCATGGGAGCAAGCTTTAAAGGCTCACTTATAAGCTCCCCTGAAATGATGTATGGTATCTGCACAGTTTTGTTTCAAAGAAGCTTCTTTGAAGAGGTAAGTGTCTTTGTAGAAAGGTGCTTCATTCCTAAACAATCTACATTTTAAAGGACATGTTATGTCCTTGGCAGCTGCCTTTATGATATTGCCTGTCAGTAAGAGAGAAAAAAAGATTGTGCTATGCAGGGTAAGATTTTTTTTACTCCTTCAAGTATATAAAATTTTATTTTCTTCACGTTTTATATGAGATCAGGAGGCACCCACGGAGCACGTTACTAGTAAGAGTCTACTTTAATCTGACTGATTTAATTTACTGTGTCTCTGACCAAAAAGCCACAGAACTCCATTCAGTGTATGAGAAAGGTCAGCTGCTATAAAAGCTGGAGAAGTGTCCCTCACTGGGAGCAGCTAAGCTAATTACAGCCTCAAAGCAGCTGACACAACCTGGCTAAGTGCATCTGGAACAAAAGGAATTATTTTAAGGTACAGCCAGCAACTAATTCAACTGTGTCATTAATGAACCTCAAAATGGAGGGTTCATTGCTGCTGTGTCACAAAAACACTCACACAAGTGACTTGTGGTGCTCTTGGTCTCCATCGCTTATGGATTTACCTTCTGATTAAAGAGCAGTGTGGGGCTTTTAACTGCCATCATCTGTCGACTGACTCTGAAAATTTCAAAATCAAGACCTATTTGAAGACTGCTACTCTGCCACTGTTAAAAAGGCAGCCAGGATATATCTCATAGTACAGAGTGGTTTGTGTTTGCTTCCTTTGTGAAATTATATTGGACTGAAATATCTTAAGATAAAAAAGTAGTAAATTAGTTTGTGGTTACTTCCTTTAGCTAGCTAGTTAGGTGACCTGTGGTTGCCTACTTTGGCAGCAGTAGTGACTTAATAATGCACATAAAATTATAATGGTAGCTAAACTTTGGTTAAATATATGTTAAACCTGATACATTATGCAATTATGAGAGTATCTGAATTATTTTTCATCTTATTTCTTGACTAAATACAGCACCTCAAAACAGGTTTATCAGGGAAATTATATTCCTTTTCACTGAAACACACTGAGTACAGTTAGGTTTGCTAAGCCAAGAAGTGCTTTCAGTGAGGTGACTGTCAGTCTTCTTGCTCCTATCAATGCTGACACTGATGATTCCTGGATGGAAGAACACAGTAGTTGTGAATGATGGGTTTATGAAGAGTGGGAATCCAACATTTCAATCAAATATTGGGAAACAGAGCACAGAATACTGAATCAGATGTCTGAGTGGATGGATCTCCCAGTCCAAATGTGATGCAAAATGCAGGAGGCATTTCTGCCAGTGAGCACAGCCAAGAGGCTTGTCCTGAGGAAAAACCCAAATGCACCTTTAAAAAACAATTTTTCTTTTTTACTGACAAATACAATTAAGCTGTGCAGTTCAGGGGGAGAAAGATAGCTGTAAGAAGAGTAACTGTGAAAGTTACATACTTACAACAAGGCTAGACTGGGCTTTTTGCTGTTACTCTGTTTCTTATCTTGTCCAGAGACCTTGAAGACAGTCCTGAAATAATGACAAAGAATAACAGCTCACCCTATAGTAATAGTGCATTAAAACTGAACCAGATAAATGTCAAAAACAAGAGCATTTTAGACAGAGAACTGCTTCTGGTGAAGCACAAGTACAGGGTTTCTTTGCTTTCTTCTTTTATTAGAGGCAAATCAATTCAGCCCATAATGCTTGCAACATGAAAACCAGCACCTCATCTGGTATATTTTACACTAGAAGTTCTTTTTGGTATTATTTCCAGTAGACAGTCTTGTTGCTATCAGACAAAAAGTACATCAGCTTGTTATAGATGGAAGAGAACATCCATATTGTGAAAATTAAAAGATAGCATCTCTTCTGTGTCTAGAATTTATTGTGGAGTTCAAAGGGCATTGTTGAAATTCTGTTTGATTTGTACTTGCAACTGGATATAATAGGATAGGCTTCATGAAGATATGCATCTCTCAGCCTTTTCTGAAGGCTGTCTTAAAATATTATATTTCAAGGGACATAAATAAAACTCCTTTACCGTGTGACTGTAATCAGCTTATGTCACATCTTGATGCTGCCTTCCCCTGGCTTCCAGACTTTCTCTTCTTTTTTGCTGAAACTCTTTATTTCTAAGGGTAGACTCTGTCCCTTTTTTTTTTTTTTTTTTTTTTTTGCAAAATGACTGGTACAATAAGACCAAGCACTCTTCTTAAAGGTAACTGTCATGTCAGCATCCAGTCCTTTCTCAAAATGAAATTCCTAGAACATCATCATTCATGCTAGGTATTTTCATTCATTTTAGCAAAAAGGAAGGCATACATAAATCTTTCTCCTTCTTTCACAACCTCTTTTCTCATAGATTCATTGGCTGAGAATTCTTATTTGAGCTGGAGCCTGAATTAAGTAGGCTTCATATTAAATGCCAGGTAAAACATGGTTACATTGCTGCAACGTAAAATTTTATGATTTGTAAGACATTTATTTTTATACTGATTTTAAATATTTTGAAGAATAGGCTGTGTCTGCTCTGTAGAAAGCAAAAGCAGAAGTTTGATGTTCTTTGCCTGGCTTTTTCAGTGATCAATGCAAGGACTAACCACAAGTCTATCAGTTACTTGAAGTTACAAGTTGCCATTCTCACTCAAATGTCAGGAACCTGCCTTGTTGGTATAGAGTATCTTGAGCTGGATCTTGACAGAATATCATCATGGAGGCATGTAACCATGACAATTGATATGAAAATCAAACCATCTTTCTCAGGAATAGCCAATATCATTATGCCCTATCACATATATATATATATATATATATATATATATATATACACACACGCACGCACATATATGTAGTATACAGAAGAGCCTTGTAATAAGGAGACAGGAATAAATAAACAGGGAGTAGGTATGCTCTTCCGTTCTTCACAAGTAAACTCTAGGGAAAACCCCTCTAAATTTCTCTGCTTTTTAAAGGGCTGCCACAACCTTTTGTTCAGCCTTTTGGAGACCTGACTCTAAGCAGCATCCAGCTTCTCATGATTGCTGCAAATTATTGCCTGTATTCACTTTAATATGTGAGACATAAGAGGTGAGGTGCTTGGGAGCATAAAAACCAGCAAGCACACAAGAGCCAGAATGTACTTATTGACTAGAGGCAGACCCAAGTGGAAGAAGCTGACTTGTGGAGTACTTCAATATTAGTATTGATTTTGTTTACTTTATCAACATGAGAAGGGGGAAAATGCAGCAAAGCAATGAAATGTGCCGATGGTACGGAACGGATGAGTCAACAAATGCACAATAGGGAAGCAATCAAATTCTCATGGATTTGGCTAAGCTAAAATCACGGGCAGATAAGTGGCTTACAAAATTCAATTTGAAAAAAAGGTGAGATACTGAATCTGTGGATAAAATAACAGGAAAAGGGAACTCTGTTTTCAATGGACAGGGAAGTGACTGCTGAAAAGCTGTGCATTTTAGCATTTCAATTGAGAGACCTGCGTGCAGTAAACTCAGGTTTCTCTAAAAAAAGCTGCCTTCCTGCCAGCACTTCTTTTTCAGCAGTTGCTGCTGTGTGGTAAAACAGTAGCCAGAAGAGAGAAATAAAATCTTCAACTTTTGTCCAACTGGGTCTTTTTCATATTAAAAAAGAGGGAAGAAAAAAATATTTAAGAACACAAAAATTAAAGGAGATTATGCTAATACCACATTAGATTAGGTACTATAAAAGTGGCATTCATAGTACATGCATCACTGTGATTACAAAAATGAAAGTTGGGAAAGTAGGATGCAAAGAAGACAACAAGGAGATGTATATTGGTTAATACTAAATACTTACTTAGGCAGTCTGTGGAACATTTGGAACACAGTGAAGAAGATTAACCACATCACTCTTACTGGCTTTACAAGAAGAACAAATCCCGAGATATTGTTGTGAATCCTGAAAACATACTGTTAAGAGGGAAAGGGAAAA